CCACTAGAATTATGTTGTCCAACTGGGAGCTGATAGCCACTTGTGGCTATTGAACAATTAAAATGTCACTAGTCCAGCGCTGGCTCAGTTGGTTGGCATATCATCCTGATGTGCCATGGTTTCAGGTTCGATCCCCAGTCAGGGCACACATAGGAGTTCAACCAATAAGTGCATAAATGGGTGGAGCAACATCTCTCTCTTTCTCTCTCCTCTCTCTCTCTCTCTCTCTCTCTCTCTCTCTCTCTCTCCTCAATAAATTTTTAAAAATTAAAAAAAGAAAACGAACTATTCTAGATTAAAAGAGAGTAAAGTGATATAACAACCAAATGCAAAACATGGAACTAGATTGGACCAGGAAGGGCTTTTTTAAAAACATTTTTTAAAGATATTTTTTTGAGATGACCGGGGGAAAATAAATATAGACTGGAAATTAGATTTCATAGAAATATATTGATTTTCTTAAGATATGACAATGGAGTGGTGGATGTGTAGAAGAATGTCATTCTTAGGAGATTCCCACTGAAGCAACTTACTTTCAAATAGCTTAGTAAAATAAAAAGTGTGTGTGTGTGTGTGTGTGTGCGCGTGCAGAAAGAGAGACACACACGGAGAACAAAAGCAAAATGTTAATGATAGAACCTAGAAAGGTTTAAGAGTACTCACTGTACTAGTCTTTCAACATTTCTATGTTTGAAATTTTCCATGATGAAAAGTTGGGGGAACAAGACAAAATAAAAAAGAAATGAATGGGAGATGAGGAAGTGGAGACAATAAGTGGAGTCAAGCCTTTGAAGAAGTTTAGCCATGAACTAAAGTGAGAGAGGGCACAGTAACTAGAGCAGGCATGGTGGGCACGGAACATGTTTTTACAAAGAGAGACTTGAGAGGGTTTAAATGCTAATGGCAAAGAGCCCGTAGAGATGGAGAGAATAAATGATACAAGTTATTCTGGTCAAATTTATTTCTCATTTTTGGGGATAGAGTCTTTCAGGCAGAAGAGAGCCCCAAGAAATGCTCTCTAGCCCCACTCTCCAAGTCCCCAAGCCTGGTGAGAAAGTAGTCTTGGTGGCGACACCTAGTGGATTCAAAGGGTATTGCTTAAATTCTTCACTCTTCTTTGCCTTAACACCTACCTGATCAGGAGGGCAGGCATCTTCTTACACTGGTCTTCTGACCGCTCCAAATTATTGTCACCATTGCTAGACCAGCCTAGAAAGTGCAATGCTACTTAATAAGCTCATTGTCTCCCCCACCCAGCCCACAGAACCCTTGGACCACCTATTGAGTCTCTTGGCCACTCTCTCTGACAAGGAAGCCGAACACAGGTAGGAAAGGGACCAGAAAGCATAGTCCCCTCCGCTATAGTCAGGTGGCCACTGCAGCCTGGTGAGCACAAGGAGGGCGTTTCTCAGCTATCCAAGATCCCAGGACTGTGCAGAGCTTAAACTGTGGCTCTGGAGTCAGAATAACTAGGTTCAAATCCCTACTAGCCATAAAACTCAGGGCTAGGGACTTAGCCTCTCTGTGCCTCTGATGAGAAACCTCTCTGGACCTTAATTCTCATCTGGAAAATAGAGCGGAGAGAGCCAACCTCCTGGGTTTGTTGAGAAGATTAAATGAGAGAATGCACGTAATGCCCAGCACAGTGAGTGGCCAAGGAGTTTCCTCCAAATGTCAACTTTTATCATCACCCTGAAAGGTGTTGGGCCTGATGACAGCTGAGATGGGATGAGAGGAATAACCCACACCACTTTCTCTGCCCTCCTGATTCCCACTTCCACACTTTGGCCACCAAATCCTATGCTGCTTCAAGACCTGGGTCATCTCTTCCAAAGTTTTTTCTCTGATTGCGCCCCACAACCATCCTCAGACCAGTGGTGAATATCCTTGGCTTAATCCCCAGAGCACTTACCATCTTGTGTTTTATGGCTCCTATTTCAACCAACCTAATTTATTCATTCAGCAAATATGTATTGAGTGTCTTCTCTGTGCCAGGTACTGTTCTGGGTACTGAATAGTGACTGAATGTCAGATTCATGGAGCTGACATTCTGGTGGAGGACCGACCACAAAGCAAATACACAAAGAAGTGTATATGATGTCAGGAAGCGATGGTGCCTTGAAGAACACACAGGAGGCTAAGGGGACAGAGAGTAAAGGCTGAGAGGGGGTGGGATCAGAGTGGCCAGGAAAGGCTCAGGGAAGAGCACAGGTAAAATCCCTGAGACAAGAATGAATGTCATGTGTTTTAGGAACAGTAAGGCAGTCAGTGTGGCTGGAGTGGAGTGAGTGAAGGGACAGGGGGTAGGAGATGGGCAGGAGATTTTGATTTTTAATCTCAGGATTATCAGAAATGGGTGTTATGATCCAAATTGTTTCAGTTGAGGTATAAAATAACTACAGGGAAATGTATAAATCTCACATGAACAACTCAACGAACACACACACACATATATACGCTCACGTGTTCCACCCCCAGGTCAAAATACAGAACATTTCTATCCCCACAGAGGGCTTCTCCATGCCCTTCCCAGCCAATGCTCTCTCCCACCCTATTGAATAACCATTATTTTTACTTCTATCTGCATAGATTAATTCTGCCCAATCTTGAACTTCTCTTACATGGACTAACACAGCATGTAGTCTTATGTGTCTAGCTCCTTTCACTCAATATTATGTCTCTGAGATTCATTCGTGCAGATAGTAATCCTTTGTTCCTTTTCATTGCCATGTAGCATTCCATTGTAAGAATATACCGTGCACTAGCTTGTTTGGCTCAATGGTTAGAGTGTCATCCCTGAGACTGAAGGAAGGGTCTCAGGTTCAATTCTGGCCAAGGGCACATACCTCGGTTGCAGGATCAATCCCCAGCCACAGTTGGTCCGATATATATATATAATCTCACAACTGGCTTGTCCATTCAACCATTCATTCACCTGTTGAATGACACTTGTTTTTTTCCAATTTATCATGAATAAAACCACTATGATCATTGGTGCACATGTCTTTTGGTGGACAGAAGCATTAATTTCTCTTGGATACACACTAGGTCAGAGTTGAGATGCATTTAGTTTTAGTAGATACTGCCAGACAATTTTCTAAAGCGGTTGTGCCACTTTGAATGCCACCAGCAGTATCTAAAAGTCCCAGCTGCTCCATGCTCCACATCTTCACTGATGCTTGGCATGTTTCTCTTTTTCATCTTAGCCATACATGATCTGATTTAGGTTTTTAAAAGAGCACCCTGGCTGCAGCGTGGAGAACTAGCTGGTGGGGTTAGGAGAAGGGTGGAGAGAGGAAGCTGAGAGCGCAGGAGGAGGCTAGTGCAGTCGTCCTGGGAAGCCATGAACGTGGTTTGGACTAAGTGGTGATAGAGAAGTCATAGTCAAGGTAATAGCGGACCAATCCGGCATATACTCTGGGCTTGGCCAATGAGGTGAACGAGGTATGAGAGAAAGAGCCATTCAGGGTGAGTCCTATATTCTTTCTTGCCTGGAGAACCTGGGTGGATGAGAGGAGCACTTTCTAACATCCGGAAGATCAAGAAAATAACATGTAGGACAAGGGAAGGTCAAGGGCTCCAGCGCAGCTGTTTGCATATAGGATATCTCCTGGAGGGTAGGTTCTAGCTCCCCGTGCCTTAACATAACTGGTAAGTACTGGTTGTGTGACGAGTGCATGCTGTCTGCAGGGGACAGATCTGGGTTAGAGGCCCAGGTCTGCCCTCTCACTCGCCCTGTAACATGGACCTCAGGTTAGGACTGCCCAGCCTCCACCTTCCTCCTTACAGTGTTAGAATCCAACAGGATCAGGTGTCTATGGCGCCTCGAACAGGGAAGAACTAAAACCTTCACTCTTCCAAGTGCCAGACACAATGTGACATGTCTTAGGAGTTGGGCACCTTTTCCTTTCATCCACATTTTCGTTAACCCTCACCGAGGATATTTTTCCATTGATTTTTAGAGAGAGTAGAAGGGAAGGGGGAGAGACAGAGAGAGGAACATTGACGTGAGAGACACATCGATTGGTTGCCTCCCGCACCTGCTCCGACCAAGGCTGGGGCTCGAGTCTGCAACCAAGGTACGTGCCCTTGCTGGATCTGAACCCAGGACCTGTTAGTCCACGGGCCAAAGCTCTATCCACGGAGCCAAAATGGCTAGGGCTCTCATCCACATTTTCCAAGTCATTCCAGAGCCTTCTAGCTGCGGGGCTCAGCACACTGAGAGGCGGTCCCCTCTCGCCTCCCTCGGGCTCAAAGAAACAGAATGGAGAACAGCAGGAGGGTTGATTCATAAGACTTTATCCGCTTACTTCCCACCCAGCAGTTTCTGCAATGCCAACTGAGCCTGTATGGCACACACGGTTCACTCTGTTAAAGCTGTGGGCAGGGGGAGAGGTCTGGAGGCCCCAGGGAAGCAGCAGGGCAGGCGGCAAGGCTCGGGGAGGGCAGCAGCCAATACCGGACCAGTGGGCCCAGTGGTGGAGGAGGGTGTGGGAGCTGGAGTGAAAAGGCTGCTGAGAGGGGTCGGGAGGAAAGGGGGTTACAGGGCGAAGAGGGAAAGGGGGTGCATCAGCAGCTGCAGGGAGGAGGCAGGGAGCAGGAGGAGGGCCTTGGTCCCTGTCTTTAAGGGACAGAGGGGGTGGGGGAGGGGTGGGACGCAGGGGCTGCATCAGCTGCGGCGGGGGGG